TGGATATTTTCAGAAAACCTTTCAAATTTGAAGATTTTAGAATATTGTGAAAAAACCTTGAAGTCCAGAAGAACTTCAAAATCAAAGGTGAGTGGAATAAATGATAAATTAAGAATTCCTTAGTTTATTAGTGGTAGCCCATTTCAAAGTATTCCTCTTCCTCCAACAACTGAAACTTAAATTTTACTTTTTCTAATTCACATTAACCTCAATCTTGATGATGCATTTCTCAAACATAATAACATGGACATTTATCAAAGTAAAATATATATTATTTCATCATCAGCTTCCATTTTCAACAATCTGCTTTTAGTTATTGTTCAATTAACGATGATGGGACAAGTATAACAACCTCAGAAATTAAAAGAAAGTTACAAGAGAACCGGGTAACATGGATTACCTTAAATTTCGCTGGTTCAATCAATTCAAAAACAAGTGCATCACCATCATCCAATTTATGATCCAATGCAAATGCTCTCCAGCCACCACTAAGCCCACTTCTTGTGCCAATGTAAACAGCCTCATATTCTGAGCCATTTTCATCCTCTAAAATCATGTCATACACAGTTTTTGGGAGATATTCCTCACAAAATTTAGAAGGAAGACCCTAGCAGAATAAATATAAAATAATATATTAGGAAGTACGGCATGTTTTACATTTATTAATAATCTAAACAAAAAAGAACAGGCAGCATGGTAAATTTGTGCAGGCCATATAGAAAGATTTTCTGAACTGCAACCTACCAACCAAAAGCAGCTATAAACATGAGACCGAACCATTGACTTGATAAATGATGGATTCGAAGACTGCAAATTGATTTGGAGTGCCTCTGCAGCCTCTAGAGCACAAATTCTTTCTTCTTCTGTAGCTTCTTTTATTTCCTCTAGTGGCCTTGCAACATAACTGAGAGTCCCATAACCTTGTTATTAATATTTTATTAGCAATATAGAAAAGTCATTAAGTAAATAATAAACCACCTTCCCCATGATGATGAATTTGACCTTGATCTCTTCCGCAAAGTTGGAAAGTCTCTGCCAACCTGTCATCGAAAGAAATATACTCTCTCATTAACACATTTCCTCTGCACTAACATATTGGAAATGAATAGAGAGTTGTCTTCAGAGACAAGAATTAACGTTTTTCTTTAAAATCACGAAACATTCAAGAGCCAAACTTGAGTGCTTCATCATCATATCTTTTATAAATAGACATATGGAACAAACCAATTCAAGCAATCTCTCCTAGTATATATTTTTCCCTTTCTTGAGTCACACACTAATTCATTGTTTGAAAGAAAATATTACTTACTTCTTCACGGTATGTGGGAACTGACTTTCGCACACGAGAAGAGCGCCTAGGTTCCACTACATCATTAGTCTTTGATCTCAGTTTAGAAAGATGACGCTGCACATGACAAGGGGGAGAAATGAGCAAATCAAATGCTGGTTCTTTGCAGACTGTAGAGCAAAATCAAAGAAAATACAAGTTTACCAGTGTCTTCTTAGGAGAACTCGTGATTTCAGTCAAATTTTTTGAAATCCTTGAAATTCCCAAATCCTTGAGAGCAAAAAGTGAAATTAGACAATCATCAAAACAGAAAAGAAAACCATGATATACCAAGGATTTATAGGAGAAAAAGTTAGGCATTTCAATTTTCAACCAACAAGAGAGTCTCTAAACATGCACAAATGCTACTCATAAAATTTCAGTTGTTATCAATAAAGATAAAAGAATGAAAATTAAGATTATCAGTAACAAAATGATGATTACCTCAAACCTCTTCTTGTTTTCTTCAACTCTTTGTTTTCTAGCCTCTTCGTAGGTGTTGTTGGTGCAACCCTTTGCCTTCATCTTGCTCGTGCTTTAAAAGGATTCAAGTATGTTTCGATATGATGTTAAGTTTCCCGCATATGCATACTTGGAGGAATACACAAAGGTTTAAGACAAAATGTGATTATTTATAGCAAATACCTCACTAACTATTTTCCAATAGTAATGAATACTGTGAAATGCTTTTCAATGGCAGGTCTTAAAAGAAAAAAGTTGAATGCTTTTCCCATTTCATTTTTACATGTTCTGTGTTGGACAAGATCGAATTTTTATACCTTTGGAGATTGTGCAGTACATGAAAGAATGCAGCTTTTAAGGTTTAATGGTCATGAGACAGTAAAACCAAGCTAAGAAAAATTGAAGAAATGCAGCAGAGATGAATTGGAGAAATAAAAGAAGAGAAAAGGGGTCATGAATATTACTGATAAAGGAGAGGAAGAAGAAGAAGAACTCTTCGTGGTGGCGGCGGCGGCGGTGGGTGTCCCTCGTCGACTGAACAAGAGTGACCCTCCCGATCCTGCCTGTCGGAGAGTCTAAAAGAACTGTGCAATTTCTGATTTTCAAATATCTCTGTTACCGTTGGCCCAGTTTACCTAAGCAGATGCAAAAAGATTTTCTAAATAAATAGGCATTAAAATTTCACATGATAAAAAAAACTATATTTATTTCTCTTTTTATATATATTAAATAGTTAGAGATCTGTGAATATTTATGAAAAAAAGAAATCAAAACTAAGTTTATACATGACGAGTTTAAAGAAGTTTTAACACGACAAACATAAATATATCCCCTAATAAATAAAGATGGACGAGAGAATTTAAGCCTAATAAAACTTGGGATAGAATATTGTGACACCCAAGTGATGTTATGACACCCACTCAATCTCACCGTTAAATTAGGTTTTTGATCTAACGATCCAGATTTAATCCTTATATACACCCTCACTTCCCCTTCTCTCTCCCCTTTCTCTCTGATCATACTCTCTCTTTTCCCTTCTCTCTCATCAAACTCTCTCTCTTCCCTTCTCTCTTCACTTTCTCTCTGATCCGCCGCCGCCGCCGCGCCTCCCCCTCTGATCCACCGCCGCCCATAGCCGCCGTCGTCGCGCCGCCTGACTCCACCTCCGTCATCCCGCGCCGCCCACTCCACCGCCTTGCCGCTGCCGTTCCAAACTTGTGGAGCGAATCAGAGATTTCCAGATCCGATCTCAACACAAGTGTTTTCCTCACACTCTCTTCTCTCCCAAACCCTATATCATTACATGGTATAAATCAAAACCCTTTTTTTTTCCCATTTCAGTTCGTTATATTTTGAACATCTGACCCACATTGCCAAATTTCTCTTGTAAAAGTTGCTATAAATATTTAGGGGTTATCAATACTGTGAAATATGAATAGCATTTTGTTGGTGATCACTTGAAGAAATTGTTTTTGTTTCACTTGCAAATTTTCATTGAAGATGATATATAAATCATCTTGCTTGTAAGGTTAAACTTCTTCCATGGCCACCACTTTCTATTCTCTAACAATATTTCTAATAGCAAAAATGAACTGATTATCTTACAATTACATACATAAACTAGGTGTGGAAAATGATCCAGAAAAAGATGGAATGTGTTGAAGTAATAGTCTTGAAGGAACCAATTCATCATTTACGGGCACATGGTGAAACAATTTTTGCAATTACTGAAAGCCAGGTGATGCTTCAATGATTTGTGACATGTACCACTGAAACTTTAAAACAAAGTCACACAGATATGTACCACCAAGTCTTCTCTATTATCTAGCTATACTGAAGTTGACCACAATTTTGATTAGTTCAATACAATTATTTATATTTTTTACCATTTGCAGCTAATTAAAGAATCAAGAGTGATAGGAGATATTATCAAAGGTAAGGAAGCAAAGTGCATGGCAGTGGCTCAGGGAAAGTTATACATTGGCTGCACAGATTCAAGCATACAGGTTAGTATTTTGTTGCTTGACATGCATTCTGGTACCAATAAAATACAAGCATGACATGATGCTTTATTTTAGGAGTATTCCACACCATACAACCGGGAAATAGAAATCAAAGCACGTACAAGGAGTTGGAGGAAGCAAAGTAAGCCCATCAATTCAGTTATAGCATTACGTAGCTGATCTTTATATTTTGTGTTTTTCTTAAATATGTCAGATTGAGGACCAGGGTTTGAGCAGCAGCTTTTTTCCTTTCATAGTTGTGGAGGAGGATGTTTGCTCTGAAATCTGTGTACTTGAGCCTTTACTAGAATTAAGTGATACTGATCAAGACATTGAAGGGAATGGAAAAATTAAAACCAAAAATCAAGCCATGGAGTTCTCTGTGGACCATGATTGGTGTGCAGTAGTTAAAATACTACTGAACCTCCTGCTTGATGAAACTTTTTGTTGTAAAGGGGAATGTCCTGGTGCAGGACATGCTGCAACTATTTTTAATTATGTACTAAGGATAATACATATTTATAATATTAAAGTTATTTTTTCTTCCTTCTCCATGTTAGCAACTTTAATTCGGTTGAAAAGGATGCTGATATAAATATTTATATCATACACATTGTTTCAATGTATTGAAAATTGCGTCTTTTTCTCCTTCTTGCAATATTTTTATAATTATTTCCTTTCATATTTTTATTCTTTTAGTTTCCATATAAAAACTGCAAGTACACATGCCACCTACACCTAATAAAGAAATCGTAGGATACTAGGAGCAGGGATACGATCATTCGATTTCAAGGTTTTTCTCAGGCTTCCTTCCATAGTGAGTGAGTGGTGACTTTGACAGTGAATTGACATTATTAAAAAGAAACATGGCCACTAATATAAAAAACTCAATACAAGAATAAACCAAATTACAAAACATATTGTTCAATGATACAATATGTCTTATAACAACTAAAAGAAATAATAAATTAAATGATAATCATGTAGCAAATGTCATGTAACCCAAAATAAAAAAAAAACAACAACTAAAGTCAATGTAAATTTTTCTCTCTACATGTACGCTTATTATGTCCTCGTTTCTTGCAATTTCCACAAATATTAGTATTCTTTGATGCTTCTTCAATCCCACTATGAATTCTACGTCCCTGTGAGATATTGTGTGACTCCCGTTTTCGACCTTTCGTTTGTGAAATGTTAGGATCATTCAATCACATCATAGATGACTCTTCAGCTTGAGAACTCAAGTAATGTGAATCAAAATCCTCAAGACCAATACTATCATCAGGTCTTGGAAATTTTTCTAAAGATTCAGTGAGAGAATCAAGACCATCACAAGCGAATCTAGCTGCTTCATTGGACCTATCTGCAAGCTCAATAAGTTTTGAAACTCTAGAGCGTATTTCAAAGCCGCGAAGGAGTCCCTCTCCATCAAAAGTACAAATGTATTTATTTGTACTAATTATATCATTTTTTTCTTTGCTCCAGCGTCGCAAAATCATATGTTCAGGGATCTGCTCAACATTTTCAACCAAAAAAATAGAAATAATATGCTCACATGGGATTCCCATGAACTCAAAATACTGACAAGAACATCTTGCTTCTTTATTTTCCAACTTCATCTTCACAGTTGCAGAATAATCCTTCTCTTTCCTATTAAAAACTCGATAAGTAACCCACTCACCATCATCTCCAATTTTCTCCTTAGACAGACGAAAATTATGAGAAAGCACATCACTAAACTTTGTGAAAATTGCACGCGTGTAAACCTTGGCTGCATGTTCTTCCAATGGCATATTCAATGTTAAACGCCTTTCTTTGTGCCTAGATTCAAAGTCTTGTTTTTTGAATGAGTCATAACGAGCATCTACTGCTTGATTATATTTTTCTACAAATTCCTTTAAGGTTGTGCCAGATGTAACAAAACCATCAAAGAATGAATTGATGCTTTCACTATGCTGAGTGGTGTTCATACCAGCAAAGAAAATAGATCTGTTAAAGATTGGTATCCAAGACGCTTTAATTGAATAAAGTGACTGCAACCACTCATTCTCATGAAGACCATAGTGATCAAGAATACGTTGCCATTTGTCTTCAAAATCTTGAGTGCTCTTTTTTGTATGGATACAGTTATTGAAATCGCTCTTAAATGTGGCATGCTGCTGATAGACATGAGACAATTTCCTGGAAATTTTTTTGTGATGTGCCACATTCAAAATCGATGCTTGTTGTTTGGGAAAACTTTGGATACTGCATTGGTAATTGACATGTCCTATAAATTCAATGACATATGTAAGAATACAATAATTAATAAATGAAACAATTGAAATTATGTACTTAAAATGATTATACCTGATCAGTAATTATGGCGCCCGGATGTTTCCCATTCATTCCTCGAAGCCATTCCTTAAATAGCCAAATAAAAGTATCTTCTGTTTCGTCTTTCAATAAAGCACATCCGAACAAGATTGACTGTAAATGATTATTTACACCAACAAAAGGTCCAAATGGCATTGAATACTTATTAGTTCTATATGTCGTGTCAAATGTGATGACATCACCAAAAAGCTCATAAGCTTTCCTGGACCTTGCATCAATCCAAAAAAAGCTTTCCATGCGATCTTCATCGTCACATTTAATGGAATAAGAGAAATTTGGATTCAATGATTGTTGTTTAGCACAATAGTTTAACACAGCTTGTGCATCTCCTGTGTTATATATTCTTCTCCTCACACTTTTTAGATGGTTATAACAATCTCGACTGTCAAATGATAACTCATCGCCTTTGAAGATGGTAGCCACTTTTCCTGTGGGCAAGCTTGCATCACTAAAGTGTTCAACCAACGATCTTGCAGCATTAGACATTTTTCTGTGTGATCTGAGATAACGAACACTCTTTGGAGTCACAAGACCATGATTATGGTTGTCGTCAAATAGTGTAATTCTCCACATTTTTGTGTTTTCACTCTTATAAGCATTTACACTAGCTTCACACCCAATTCGTAATGATGATGTCTTCTTTAATTTGGTCTGACAAACTTGAGCAACATCTTTATCATTTTTTTTTTGTGGATGACCCTGTCTAGCACAAACTAGCTTGACGAAGTTGTCCCTCCTTGTTCGTATTCGGATTCCGAAACCTTTTACCTTGTTATACGCTGTATACAAGTCCACTACACCCTTTTGTTCGGAAAATTCCATTCCAACCTCAATAAAAATATTAGAATTCTTTGTCGGTGTCAAGGGAACGACATTTGGAATGTTATCAATTAAATCATTCGATATGTCATCTCCTAAATGAGTAGGCATCTCTTCTATAATTTCATCATCACTGAAGTTGATGTAATCTATTGGATCATCATCCATATTCAATAAGTCATCTCCCAATTCACCAGGCATGTCATTCCTAATTTCATCATTTAAGTCATTGTAGTCCGAATGGTCATCCATAATATACCTAAAAATTTAAAACCAAGAAATCATGTGTTCAGTGTAAGCAAGGTAAACCAGCTTTTGCAAAAATGAGAAGGAAAATTGCTATCCTACAAAATGTTTGCCCGTGATACAAAAGCTTCAAGAAATGAGTAAGTTCTTAATACTTGAATTTATATATCTACTCAATAGAAATAGCACATACCAAATTCAGCTATGGCTTTTGTAGATAAGAGCTACTGACTATACAACTTGAGTCAGTGACAATGCTCATAAACAATAAAATTTAAAAACTTGACGCTACTGCATTTTGTCATTGTGAGAACTCTTTCCCTTATTGCATTGTAAGTAATGGCTTTTGGCAAATGATGCCTATGAAAAGAAGAATGAGCCAAGAAACAGGTATCATAAATAAATAGAAGTTAGAATCAACCTCTCAGCCACTGACTATTCCAACTATTATTCTTTATAATGTTGACCATAACTCATAATGATCACAACCACAGGGTTCAACATTCCATGCCACTACTACTCTTCCATATTTTTAATGAAGGCATTGTACCCATGTTCTTTAGGCGGCGGAAATTAAAGTTTATAAAGTAAGAAAACCAAAAATAAATTATTGGCAAAGTTGATGCACCATAAAGCTAGATAGCAAGAATAATAGTATAACTAGTGAGGTCGTATTTTAGTTCAAAATAGCAAGGCAGCAAAGACCAACAGAATTAAACATCACAAACAAAAAATAAAAGGCATTTAGTACTATATATCAAGCTACTGTCTACGCATATACGCTTTGTCTTTCTTCCTAAAAGGCATTTAGTACTATATATCAAATTTACACAAACTAAAATCAGGAATTTCAAAGGTGAATCTGACAATACTTCACGTGAGCAAATGAAACTTTAACCTGACCTCATCACCTATATTGATGGTTATGACCAATCAAAATGAAATTTCAAAAGAAAATGAAATTTCAAAAGAAAATAAAATTGTCAATGTACCTTTCCAGTTTTGGTACCCTGAGATAATCACATTCCTGTAAAGACAAAATAGTTTTAATACACACACGTGACCATCAAATTTGGGAGAGAAAATTCAACTGTACGTGACCATCTCTGATTCGCTCCACAAGTTTGGAACGGCAGCGGCAAGGCGGTGGAGTGGACGGCGCGGGATGACGGAGGTGGAGTCGGGCGGCGCGACAATGGCGGCTATGGGCGGCGGCGGTGGATCAGAGGGGGAGGCGCGGCGGCGTCGGTGGATCAGAGAGAAAGTGAAGAGAGTAGGGAAGAAAGAGAGTTTGATGAGAGAGAAGGGAAAAGAGAGAGTATGATCAAAGAGAAAGGGGAGAGAGAAGGGGAAGTGAGGGTGTATATAAGGATTCAATCTGGATCGTTAGATCAAAAACCTAATTTAACGGTGAGATTGAGTGGGTGTCACATGGGTGTAACATCACTTGGGTGTCACAATATCCTATCCCATAAAACTTTAGGCTTCGTTTGGGAGTTTGGAGGGGAAGGGAGGAAAAGAAATTCAAGGGAGAGGAAAGGAAGAAAAAAAAATAAAGGATATTCTCTTCCTTTGTTTGGGAGTTAGAACTCCTAAATTGAGAAAACTTTAATTTTAAAAACAATGAGGGTTTTGAACGATTTTGTAAAAATTCACAAATCATTCCCCTAACTTTTTTACACTCACTTTTTCCTCCTACAGGTTCTCAAGTTGCTGCACATTCTATCTTGACTCCGGATATTGTGAACAAGTTGTTGACATTGGTAGACCAGCCTCAGGCACATGAAAAATTATCTGGTAAGAGTATTCAATCTAAATGGCTTGTTGATAGTGGGGCCTCACGTCATATGACGGGTAATTTAGCTTTATTAGCTGAGGTTACATCTCTTTCTCCTCTACCTGTGACTCTACCAAATGGTTCTATTACTTATGCCACCAAACAAGGCTCGTTGGTGTTTGATGCAAATCTCAAATTATCAGAAGTTTTATATGTTCCCAATTTACGTTGCAATCTCATTTCTGTTTCCCAATTGCTCCGTTCCAAGAACAACATTGTCATATTTACTAATAAAAATTGCATTTTGCAGGACCCAGTGCTGAGGAGGGAGATTGGTTTGGGTGAACTTCATGACGGAGTGTATGTGTTTCAGCCTTTAAGTATTTCTGCTTCAGCAGCTCAGGCAGAAGACTCAATCGAATTATGGCACAACAGGCTAGGGCATGCATCCTATGATATTTTGTCTTTAATTCCAGAATTTAAAGTCCTGAAGAATAAAGTTGCATGTAAGGCATGTGACGTTTGTCATCGTGCCAAGCAAACTAGATCGTTGTTTCCTGTAAGTTTTTCTCGTAGCAAAGAGTGCTTCGATTTAATCCATTGTGATACTTGGGGTCCATATAAAATTTCTTCTTCTTCTGGTGCACGTTATTTTTTAACTATTGTCGATGACTATAGTAGGCATGTGTGGGTATATATGTTGGCAGATAAAAGTGAAACTTATGATCGTATGTGCAAATTTCTGGCCATGATTTTTAATCAATTCAGTAAGACCGTAAAGATAATAAGGTCTGATAATGGGACGGAATTCAAATCAAATAATATGATGAAGCTTTTGAATGAAAAAGGCATTTTGCAACAAACAACATGTGTTTATACGCCCGAACAGAATGGGAGAGTAGAAAGAAGACACAGGCACATCCTTAATGTGTCGCGTGCTTTGATGTTCCATGCAAACCTTCCGATTGATTTTTGGGAAGAAAGTATTCTTGCGGCTGTTCATGTAATTAATAAAACACCTACAAGAATCCTCCAAGGAAGGTCACCACATGAAGAATTATTTGGAGTTAAGCCAGATTATACATACTTGCGCACATTTGGTTGTCTATCTTTCGCTAACACCAGACCAAAACCGACTGACAAATTTGCCTCTCGTTCAAGAAAATGTGTGTTCATTGGTTATGCAATAGGGCAGAAAGGTTGGAAATTGTATGATATAGATGCGCACCAAAGTTTTGTGTCCAGAGATGTAAAATTCTTTGAAAACATCCTCCCATTTCGTGAAAAATTTGTTCAGCCGATTCATGTACAAACTACTCATAGGCCAGGGATGCAAGAATTCTTCGATGTGGATGAATCTGGCCATAGTGCGCGTCCTGGTCAATATGTTCCTGCTCCTCCTGATGCACGTGACATTATGAACGATAGGGGGAGTACTCTTGACTCCTCGTTGATGCAAACTCCTATGCTGGAACAGCGTCCTCCTATGTCGCAAATCGAGCAGCCCTCTTCGCTGGAAAATGACCAGCGCTCATTTCCGTCAAGTTCAACTGATGGTGTGTCTTCACAACAGCAGCAGGAACATAATCAAGGTAATGATCTTGTCCGAGTACAGCGCACCGGAAAGCCTCCAGGTTACTTGAAGGATTACGCATGCCAAGTAGCTGAAACACATACTCCTTCGTCTATCTCCACTCAAACCAATGTCACCTCAGGTACTCGGTATCCTATGTGCAATTATATTAGTTTTAATAATTTTTCTAAGAAACACCAAGAGTTTGTTGCAGCTATTGATGCAGGCAATGAGCCAAGAAAATTTCAAGACGCTATACGTGATCCACGATGGGTTGAAGCCATGAGGGCAGAAATTACAGCTCTAGAAGATAATCATACTTGGCGTATCATGGACTTGCCTCCAGGAAAGCATGTTCTTCCAAGTAAATGGGTGTTTAAAATAAAATATCGTTCAGATGGAACAGTAGAACGGTATAAGGCGAGACTAGTGATCGCAGGCAATTATCAGATAGCTGGAGAAGATTACGGTGAGACTTATGCACCAGTGGCAAAGATGGTGAGCGTACGCACATTATTAGCAGTAGCTGCAGCAAGAAACTGGGAGTTGCACCAACTTGACGTTCATAACGCATTTTTAAATGGAGAAATAAGTGAGGAAGTTTATATGCGTTTTCCTCCTGGATTCAGTAATGGTTCTAAAGATAAAGTGTGTCGTCTTACAAAGTCACTGTATGGTCTACGACAATCGCCAAGGAATTGGTTTTCCAAACTCAGTAGCTCATTGACAGCATATGGATTTATTTAGTCAAAAGCTGATTACACGCTTTTTACTATGCAGAAAGGTGATGAGTTCCTTGCACTTTTGGTCTATGTAGACGACATCATTTTAACAGGTAATAATTCACAAGCATGTTTTGCAGTCAAGGCATATTTGAACCAGTGTTTTAAAATAAAAGATCTGGGCAATCTGAAGTATTTTTTGGGGATTGAAATTGCTCGCAGTAAGAAAGGAATATTTTTGTGTCAACGAAAATATGCACTAGATATTCTTTCTGATTCTGGACTCAGTGGATGTAAACCTGCTATTTCTCCTATAGAACAAAATCATCATCTTGCATTGGATGAAGGACCAGAATATGAGAACCTGGAACGGTATAGAAGGTTAATTGGTAAGTTGATCTACCTCACTATCACAAGACCTGATCTAAGTTATGTTGTTCATATCTTGTCTCAATTCATGCACTCCCCACGCCTTGCTCACTATGAGGCTGTCCTTCGTGTTTTACGGTATATAAAAAGAGATCCTGGTCAAGGCCTTCTTCTCAAAGCAGATTGTGATCTAAAGATCCATGCCTATTGTGATTCAGATTGGGCATCTTGCCCTCTTACTCGACGTTCCCTCACTGGTTTCTTTGTTATGTTGGGTTCATCACCAGTGTCATGGAAGACTAAGAAACAAGTCACGGTGTCACGCTCCTCAGCAGAAGCAGAGTATAGATCAATGGCTGCAGCTACAGCAGAGATTGTATGGCTTAAAACATTTCTCACTTCCCTTGGTGTCACGCATCCAAGTCCTATGGAGTTGTTTTGTGACAACCAAGCAGCGTTACACATTGCAGCAAATCCGGTGTTTCACGAGCGTACTAAGCACATTGAGTTAGATTGTCACTTTGTACGCGAACAAATCCAGTCCAATAATATTGCTACAGCTCAC